CCCAGCAGCAGCGGTAACGTTTGCACGTCCTCTCCCGTTAATGCGGCAGGTAAATAATCAACTAACAGTGCATATTATGTTAGCGCGATCTGCCTTATTACAAACCTGCCATTACTGTGCGTTTAGGTGACCATGATGAGACAGAGTCTGGCTCAGATGCTGGCAGTTCGCTGCAGTCTACCGTAGCGTCTCCTTTCAGGCAGGATAGACGAATGTCACCGAGCAGAGACTCAGTTTGTGGTTAAAGGTTTGCAGCCGTTTTCCACAGCAGATGATTTTCAGTAAGTGAACGTGTTTAATTGTAGGCAGGGACATTACTGGATATTCTTGTGTAACTGCTACAGAAGAATATTTATTTTATTATTTTACATATACCATTTTTTCCCCGGGGACCCTGTGACACCCCATTGAAGAGCCGTAGGCTGTGGATCTCTTAAGATCTCACTGTTGGGTTTGTAAGGCCATGTTACTCCTAAATTTCTATCTTGTTCAAAGAGAAGATATAAAACAAAGATCTAAGCTAATTGACCTTAGTGTTCTCCTTTTTTAAAAAGAATAAATAAAGAATCGAATCGTTAAACAGAATCGAAAATGGAATTGGAATCGTGAAAATCTTATCAATACCCATCCCTAGTAATTATTTAATTGATTTAATTGTTGAATTTTTGGCCAGTTGTGTGTATAATGTTAGATTGTGATAGTTACATTTCATGCCTCTAAAATCACAAAAGTAAATTTTGTCCTCTTTTGCTGTTTCAGTCTTTAAGTACAAGCACAGACGACCAGTTTGGATTTGCATTAGTTAAAGAAGAAATTAATGAAGCTCTGCTGAAGAATGACCAACGAGCAGCTGCTGCAAAGATCACTAAGTTAATGATGAAGGAGAAAAACATCACACTAAATATCGCCATCACAGGAGAAGCTGGGGCTGGTAAATCCACCTTTGTTAACGCCCTCAGAGGACTATGTGATGATGATGAGGGAGCTGCTCCTACTGGTGTTACAGAAACCACCATGGAGGTCACACCGTACCCCCATCCAAACTATCCCAATGTTATGTTGTGGGATCTCCCTGGGATTGGCAGCACCAAGTTTCCAGCTGATAAGTACCTGGAGCTTGTTGGATTTGAGAAGTTTGACTTCTTCATCATCATCTCAGACACTCGCTTCACGAAAAATGACGTGAAACTGGCTCAGGAGATTCAGAGGATGAAGAAAAAGTTCTACTTTGTTCGATCAAAGATTGACAACGATATAAATGCTGAGAGAAGAAAGAGAGACTTCAGTGAAGAGAGGACTCTGACAAAGATCAGAGACGACTACGTTAAAGGTGAGTGTTCAGTGATCATTTATCCCAGTGTGAGATTAATTTCTGGATGTGTTCTTTAAAAATGTGTGAATGTAATAACCTTTATTTTCTGTTGTTTGCATCATCACATACTCAGAAAAATGACAAATTACTTTGATTATCAGTGATCACTGAGAGAAGCTGTATGAACTTTATTTAATGTTTCAAGTGTATAAAGTTATTTAGATCTGTCCACCTGCAGCTGCTGGAGAGGTCAGGCTTTTATTGGACAGCTGAACTTTATAACACTGATCACTCATTAAACTGCTACTGTCTCTCTCAGTCTGATACCAAAATTTAGGATGAGAACAGATTTTTAATTTATTTGTTCATTTTTGACTGACAAGGTAAAATTATCAATCAAATTCATTTATTGGGTCAACAATGTATAAACATATAATCAGTTTTCTCTCCAGTGTTTGTCTCCATCAACAAACATACTTTAGTTGTTTGATGTTTCTTGAAGAACAGCTGCCTGCTGCTGTTAATCTCGATGTTTGTTTGGTATTGTTCAGACTCTCTGGGCTGCAGTTTCTCTTCATATTAATCTTACATTAAAAACACTCTAATCATTCCCATGACAAACAGCAGCAGATAGGATCCAAGATTATTCTAAACTATACACAACTAAACTATAATCCTT